CTGCGCACCCCCTCTGGTGTCGAGAAAGTACCACGCCTGCCACGCTCTCCGACCCTGGCACGCATGGACGCCGCGGTGAGAGACCACCTCCTGCGCACCCCCCCTGGTGTCGAGAAAGTGACACGCCTGCCACGCTCTCTGACCCTGGCGCGCAGACGCCGCGGTCAGAGACCACCCCCTGCGCACCCTCTCTGGTGTCGAGAAAGTGCCACGCCTGCCACGCTCTCCGACCCTGGCACGCATAGACGCCGCGATGAGAGACCACCCCCTGCGCACCCCCCCTGGTGTCGAGAAAGTGCCGCGCCTACCCCGCGCTCTCCGACCCTGGCACGAATAGACGCCGCGGTGAGAGACCACCCCCTGCGCACCCTCTCTGGTGTCGAGAAAGCGCCACGCCTGCCACGCTCTCCGACCCTGGCACGCATAGGGGCCGCGGTGAGAGACCACCCCCTACGCACCCCCCCTGCTGTCCAGAAAGTGCCACGCCTGCCGCGCTCTCCGACCCTGGCGCGCATAGACGCCGCGGTGAGAGACCAAGCTGTGCTGAGCAGTGCTGCGAGGAGGAGGGGGGGTGTGATGTGAGACGCGGGTGCGACGCGGCAGGGGAGAAAACCATAACCCCACGAAGCATGTGGGGAACCAGAACCCCACGAAGCATGTGGGGAACCAGAAGGAGAGGGAGGAGAAGGAGGAGGAGACGCGGGTGAGACGCGGAAGGGAAGAAAACCATAACCCCACGAAACATGTGGGGGAAGCCGCCCTGGAGGAGCCCGCCGAGCCGTCGCACGGCCCCCCGGCTCGAGGAGGGGCCTTGGGTCGGGCCAGGGTCCTGGCAGCGCTCCGCGGTGATGTTGAAGAGGAGGGGCCGTCACCTGAGTGCCCACCTCCCTCGCCACGTGAGCTCAGGAGGAGGAAGAGGGATGCAGAGGCAGAGGCCCGCAAGAACGAGCCACGCATCAAGCTCGTTGCGAGGATGCTGCCAACTGAAGTGAAAGAGGAGGTGAAGTCGGAGGATGAGGGCTCGAAGACGGCTGCAGCCTCGTCGTCGAGGCAGGAGGCGAGCGGCGGGGGCGGCCGAGGAGCTGACCCAGAGGCGGCAGGGCGCAGGTGCAAGGAGCTGGCTGACCGCGTGGAGGGCCGGCGCGCCATCGGGAAGAGTGCGGCGAACCAGGAGTACCGCCGCCTCTTGGACCATGCAGCGCACGCCCTAGCGCGGGCTCAGGAGCTGCGGCCGCAGGTGCTTGAGGAGGGGAGCGGCGGAACCGCCACGCCCGATGGTCAGGGGCGGTCTAGGTCGTCGGAGGAGAGGAGATGCCCAGCGAGCCCGGCAAGGAGGGTTCGCTCAGTGCCCCCTCGGCCTACACGGGGTGCAGGCGTGTCGAGTGCCCGCGTCAGGGAGCCCTTGCCGATGCCGCCACCGAGGGAGAGAGCGGTCTCCCGCAGCCCGCCTCGGCGCAGTGCCACCCCTGAGGACGAGGGAGGCGATGGCGATGCTGCGAGCCCTGTCGACCCGGAGCTACATGCGGAGTCGATGGAAGCCGATGCTGGCGCGAGCAGCGAGGCCAGGATGGCGGCGCTGAGGGCCCGGGCCATCCAGATCAAGCGCGACGAGGACGACGCGGCGGAGGTGGCTAGGAGGAACGAGGCAAGGCAGAGGGCGGGGGCGCCCCAGGAGGGCCTCGGCCGAGGACCGCCCAGGTCTGAGCGCTCCCTATCGCCTGGGCCATCGGCGCCGAGCTCACCGCCGCTCCGCACATCGCGGCCGGTTGAGGCGGAGGAGCGCCCGGCCTACGCGCCGCTGCCCGGTGAGGACGTTGAGATCGACCCGCGGGCGGTCGCGCGCTACCTGGCGGACAGGCGGAGCTCTAGCAGCGCGGGCCCTGGTGAGAAGGGAGTGCACACCCACCTCGAATCTATGGCACGAGGGGCCACGCAGGGCTCGGGCCGCCGTCGCGACCGAGGCGGGGGCCGCAGGCGGGGCAGCAGTGGAGGAGACGACCGCAGGAGCGGGTGCCTCGAGCAGGCGAAGGCTGAGGAGGAGCTCGAGGCGCTGGTGAGGACGTGGAGCTACCCCGAGCAGAGGGGGGGGTGGCTCGACTGGGCCCTGGCAGCCATGGGCGTAGGCGAGGAGCACGCCCGCAGAGCAGGGGCTACCTCGCATAAGAGCAAGAAGGGCAGCAAAAAGGTTCGCGGCCCGTGCGAGAATGAGCCGCCCAACCTCCTCGGACCGGAAGCGGTTCGAGCGAGCGTCCAGCGGGTGGCGATGCAGTCGGCGGTGGCGGAGGGCATGGGCCCGAACGACCTAGGCTCGCACGGTCTGAGGATCGGAGGAGCGTCGGCGCTGTACGCGGCGTTCAAGGACACCGCCCTGGCGCAGCGCTGGGGCAGGTGGAACAGCGACGCCTTTCAGGGATACCTGTGGGAGGCGCGCGGCATGGCAGAGGGGGTTGGCAGCAGCATGGCGGCCGCCGACATCACGATGGTCTGAGGAGTTGCGCCGTCGCGTTGGTCTGAGGTTCAGAGCGCGCGGGCAGCGGGGGCCGATCAGGCCTGAGCTGAGAGCGCAGGGGGGCCTCGAGGCTGGCAATGCGGCATCAGGTGCGCAGCCGCCGTGAGGGCATCTGTCTTGGCAGAGGCACCGCCTGCCGCGGCACCGGGCGATGCGGCTGTGGGCCGCTGGAGGAGTGCGATGGGGGGTGCAGCGGCGGCAGGGAAGGCCGACCGCAGAGCTCGCGCCCGCGGGCCAGACCGCGGGCGCCACCAGGCCGCGAGAGAAAAAGGGTGCTTCTCTCATCGAAGAGGATAAGGATGAGGAGGAGGAGGAGGAGGAGGAGGAGGAGGAGGAGGAGGAGGAGGAGGAGGAGGAGGAGGAGGAGGAGGAGGATAAGGAGGAGGATGTTGGCGGCCCGAGGGCTCAGGGCCAGCAGGCCCAGGCGAGCCCGATCCGCCTGAGGTTTTGAGGCGGAGAGTCCAGGAGGAAACGTGATCGCTCGTGAGAACAATGGGTTTCCTCCCGCCTCGCGGCCTCCTCTCCCGCTGTCCTCCTCCGCCGCCGTTTGCTCAAGGCTCCTGCGGAACCGCCAATGATTTTGGGGCCCCACCCACCCGCGCCAGAGGGGTGGGGCCCCAGCCAAGTTTGCTCGGCGGGCCCCACAAGGGGGCTCGCACGCGCTTGCCGCGTAGCGGTCGGCGCGGTCTTCGCCCCCCTCGAGGCTTCTCGCGGGGGGTGCAGCGGCGGCAGGGAAGGCCGACCGCGGAGCTCGCGCGCGCGGACCAGACCGCGGGCGCCACCAGGCCGTGAGAGAAAAAAGGGTGCTTCTCTCATCGAAGAGGATAAGGATGATGATGATGAGGAGGAGGAGGAGGATAAGGAGGGGGATGTTGGCGGCCTGAGGGCCCAGGGCCAGCAGACCCAGGCGAGCCCGATCCGCCTGAGGTTTTGAGGCGGAGAGTCCAGGAGGAAACCCCGATGATTATTTGCTTGTTGGGGGTGTGTGTCCAGACCCATTACTTTTTCGGGGGGGGGTCCAGCAGCCCCCCTCCGGTGATTTTCCCAGAGTCTGGGGGCTTCAAACCCCCCCAACAGTTTTCCCGGCGGAGGGGAGGTTCCGGACCCTTTCGATTCTTCTCCAGGGGGGGGCGGTGGGGAGAGGCCCTGTGGTTTTTGACCCCCCAGTAAGTTTGTCTTCGGGGGGGGGAGGGGTTCCCCGGTTTCCGGCACCCCGTGGGGGGACTTTTCAGGGCAGCGACAGCGGATCGCGTTCTTTCTCCTTCTTTATAGTGCCTGGCGCGCTCTTCCCAGGATGAATTTCGATCCGATCGATCCGATTCGATATCCATTTTAGCAGGCCCGGTCCGATTCGTTTCCGATGTTTCGACGATTCGATGCGGCCCGATGTTTGCGCGGCCCTGCCGTGCTTTCGTGGCGCTGCAGGTTCGATTCGATATTAGCTCCGTGCCGATGCGGCCCGACCCCGCGCAAGTGCTGAGTCGGTTCGATTTTCCGATCCGATGCTGAATGATGTTTTCCGCGGGCCCCCCACCTTTTCAGGGGCAGCGTTAGTAGGCAAAGGGGGGATGCATCGACGTCCATCGCCCATAGATCGCCGATGTGGGGCCCGATAACCCACCCCGCGCAGGAAGGTTCAGATTCGACGCCGGGTGCCTGTAGCCGATCTTGGCGATGTATCGCCGATTCCATGTTTATGCTTTCCCACCTGGGACAATCCGACTCTGAACGTTCCCCTTCGCAAGGGGGAATGTCAGATGACGGGGTTGGTGAGGCAGGATTAGCATGGCGGGAGCAGCTCGACCACAGAAGCTGTGGATGAGAGGGCGCGACGAGGGGGGCGTGGATGGTGGATGGGGGTGGGGAGAAGGGGAGCGCGAAAGGGCGGCGAGGCGCAGCCGTTGGAAGCCACCCCGAATGTGGAACCCGCACGAAAGCCGACGAAGGCGTCCGAAGTCTTCGAGCGTCGAAACTTCGATGCCCCCCGACAGCCACCGAACGCGCTCCACTACCCACCGCGTGCCTAGTCGCACTATTCCGACAAAAACATATGTCAACCTGGATGTACTGGATCGTGACCCCCTCGCGGCGGATCCACACCATTTCCGAGCAGGCACTCGGCGAGTACAATCGGCCTGGATTAGTAGGTCGACCCTGCCAGCTCAAGAGTACCCTTGTGTCCTGTGCCTCGCGACGCTTGCCTTCTTACACTCCTACGGCGATGTGGCCCTCGGAAGGGTCTTGTGTCCTCTTGCGTGTCCTGTCCAATCAAGGCCGACTGTACTGGATCGTGACCCCCTCGCGGCGGATCCGGACCAGTTCCGAGCAGGCACTCGGCGAGCAGTGCCCCTTTATCGTTGCCCCTCCCCCCCCCGCCGTTGCCCCCCGCCCCCTATCGCGGCGGATCCAGACCATTTCCGAGCAGGCACTCGGCGAGTCGTGCCCCAGTATCGTTGCCCCCCCCCCCCCCTTTGCCGCGGCAGCCGCCGAGGAGCTGGAACGGCAGAGGGACGAGGCGCAGGCGGGGCCCCACCGCGCGCCCCGCCCGCGGGGGCGGAGGGTGCCCGCGACCACTCGAGGACCCTGCTCTCTGGGGATGGGGCACAGTGAGGCCCTTCCCCTCCTCCTCTTCCTCCTCCTCCTCCTCGTCCTCCTCCTCCTCCTCCTCCTCCTCCTCCACCTCCTCCTCCTCCTCCTCCTCCCCCCTCATCCACCTCTTCCTTCTTCTCCTCCTCCTCCTCCTCCTCCTCCTCCTCATCCTCCTCCCCCCTCCTCCTCCCCCTCCCCTCCCCCTCCCCCTCCTCCTCCTCCCCCTCCTCCTCCTCCTCCTCGGTTAACCCGCGGCCCCAGCACCCACCTCGCTTTGCGATGGGTGTCCACTGGGGCCAGGCGTGTGAGGCCAGTCCACAGCACGTTCTAAGGGAAATCTCCCCCGACTTGGGGCGGAAGCGCTGGCCACTTGTTGCCCAGTGCTAGACGAAGGGGGGCCCATCATATTTTTTCGCCCCCCGGCGCGGCTTTGAATAGGCGGCACACCGAGGGACATGACAGGGCCCCCCTCCCCAAAACTAAGACTCACAGCGTGAATGCTGGGATACGAACCGTGTTAAAGACAGAGGGGGGCCCATCACATTTTTTCGCCCCTCGGTGCGGCTTTGCCTGGCGGCACCGATGAACACGACAGGGCCCCCCTCTCCGAAAAACAAAAACGCGGAAGGAGGAAAGAGGAGGGGAGGAGGGAGGGGGGAAGAAGGAACCGGAAGAGGGAGGAGGCGCGGGCGCGGCGGGGGGGTGTGCGCCACCCGACCCCCCCCTTAGGCGCCAGCGCGGCCCCGCCTAAGCAAGGAGCGGGGAGGAGAGGGGGGGAGGGGGCTGACTGGAAAAAAACAAGTTAGGACACACTGGGCGAATCACAATTAGCGAAGGCCTGCGGCTCTGCGGCGCTGGAGGGCCAGCTGCGTCTGAACGACGCAACTGACCACCTTGTACGCGCGGATGAGCTCCGCGCTTTGCTGGTCGTCCGGGCAGGTCTTGGCCTGGCGGACCAACCACTGGCGTGCCTCCCCCCCGAGGCGACCTGGCGTCTCCACCACGAAGGGCGTGAGGCGGTCGCCAGGGTAGCGCGCATGTTTCTCGCGCTCGGCTGCCCGCGCTGCCTCGCCTGGCCTGCGGGCGGTTCGGCCCAGGACGTGCTCTGCCGCAGGGTGGCGCACTGTCACATCAATCCAATGCCGTCCCGCACCCTACTCGATGTCGAGGATAGCGCGCTCGAGGAGGTCGGCGCCGGGCGGGTCTGTTGGCCGCTGCTCGCGTTGGCGGTCCCACGTGGGTACCCTCTGTTCCTGCAAGGGGTCGCGGTGTAGCCACCGCTTTACGAGGCCTGCCACGGAATCCTCGAGCCTACCGTGGCGTACCACTACTCCGCCCCCCTGCGTGCAGATGGCGGCGTGGGTGCCCTTGTCGTCAAGGGGGGCCGAGCAAGCAGCCGCGGCCGCGCCAGTCCCGCGGTTCCTGTTCTGGCACACGGCTGCGGCCAAGGCCAGCTCTGCCCGCGAGCACTCAGGCCTGCGCACCAGCGCCCGTGCGCGCAGTGCAGACGACCAATGCTCGTCTTCCATGGCGCACGCAGGGTCGCTCGGGTACAACAGGAAGGCCGCCGCGCCAGGGCCTCCAGCGCCCAGGAGAAGAGCCCTCTCGTGAACTGGCAAGCGCTGCCACACGGCCGCGCGGGTGTTCTTTTGCACAAGTTTCACGAGTTTGCTCTGCTTGAGCTGGTTCTGGAGAGCTTCCACGAGCGAGGCCCCAGGGGCTGGGTCGGCTCCGCGGCCCCGCAACTCTGCGCGCACCCCGGTGAGCGTGTGCTCCAGCTCAGGCACCGCCTCGAGCAGCTCGCTCGCGGTCGCGCCCGCGTCTCTGGCAACCCACTCCAATGCGAATGCCCAACCAGCCCAGAAGGCAGCTGCCCGGCGGGTGGACGCCCACTGTACTCCAGCCCCTCCCTCCTTGCGCGGCAGGCCGATGACTTCCCGGCTCAGCGGGTCGAGGTCCCTGCCTGCCAGGTCTTCCCAGCAGCTGGCCAGCGCGTTGTCGTAGCGCTGCGTCTCTGGGTCTGTGGCGAGGGTGGCCCGCAAGGCGTGCTGGCTCGCAGCCCCAGCGTAGGTAGTAAGCAAGCTTCCGGCCGCCTGTCTCCGCAAGCCGTGCCCCGCGAGAGGTCGGAGGGCCCGCCAGAGGGAGTCGAGCCTGTCCGTGGCTGCGCCGAGGCCGCCTTCCTGGTTGCCGAGCAGGAAGGGGGCGTCCACCTGGTCGCCGCGCGCCTTCAGGTGCGCTCCCAGCACTGGGAGCGTCGCCACGCAGCGAGGGCGCAGCTCGTCTGGCAGCCCTGCCGCGCCAGCCGGGACCCACACCAAGGTCTTGGTTGGGTTGAGCTCCAGGCCGTAGGGGGCCAGCGCCTGTTCCAGGAGGACGAGCGTCCGCGCGGCCAGCGCCTCTGGGACCACGATGTACGAGTCGTCCAGGTAGGAATACATCCGCGTCTCCGCGTCGAGGGCGCTTAGGTGCTCGAGGAAGGGTTGCAAGGCCTTGCGCTGACCCACTGCGTAGGCGGCAGGTGCCAGCGGGTCGCCTTGGTCGAAGCCCCTGGTGCTCTCCACCGGCTCGAAGTTGCCGGCCGCGTCTCTCCAGAGGTGGGTCGCCGACCCCCTGTACCACGTGTCGAGGACGCGGGCGACCTCTGGCACGTGTTCCGCCATTGCTTCTATGGCCGGCCCCCGCTCGAGTCTCTGGAAAGCGGCCTTCACGTCCACTTTTATGAACGCGTCGTTCGGCCTCTGCGCCGCGCGGGCCTGCAGTTGCTTCAAGACGAGGTCCGCCCCGCTGGGACGTCCCACCCCGTATTGATGAGGCCCGGCCGCCTCTTGGAGCCTGGCCTTCCTCACCCTTGCCAGGGCCCTCATCCCCAGCCGTCGGAGGGTGGCGCCCACCAAGAGTGGCCTGACTTCACCGGCGCCCTTGTCCACGGCCACGAGTTCGCCGACCCGGAGGGCTTGCAGCACCGCCTCCGGCACGTCGCCAAAGGTCAACTTGCCCACGGCCCACGCCATCGACTCAAGGACCGCCGGGTCGTCCGTGCACGAGGCGAGGTGCTCCAGGCGAGTGCCGAGGAGGCCGGGCGCCGTCAAGCGCGGAGGTCGCCGCAGGAGCTTGGCGATGTCGTCGCAGACCTGCTGGAATAGGTCCCCGTCGGGGGCGACCCCGGCGCGAGACCTGGCTTGCGAGGCAGCCGCGCTGGGAGCACCACGCGGGAAGGAGTCTCTCAGTTTAGCCAGGGTGTGCGCCGATCGAGGGGCGAGCGGCACGCCACGCACCGCGCCGAGCGCGCGGCCTTCCTCCCCCGCGGCTGCCAGGGTGTGGACTCTGAGCGCCCTCCGTTCGTCGGAGTCTTGGCCAGCTGCCCGGGGCGGCGGGGTGGAGCGGCCAGCTGCGTCCCCCCAGAGGGCGTCCCACTGCCCACCCCAGAACCAAGCGAGGCGCTCTTCGAGGGCCTCTGCGCACGTTGCGCCTCCTGCCGGGCGCGCGAGCAGCATGGCGTCGAAGAGGAGGAGTGCCTTCCACTCCTGTTCTGTGTCGCCGCGCGCCTCCGCCTCCTCCAAGGCTCCGAGAGCCGCGGCGCGAGCCATGACGAACGCCCCGCGGAAGCGGTCAGGGACCTGGACGAACGTCGGCGTCCCCACCTTTACGACGGCGTCCCACGAGAGGTTCTCCCACCACGTGCGGCTTGGAAGTTCCTTGCGGCCCCATGCCGGGTGCAGCGGGGGAGGGCTGTCAGCGCTCGCTGCTGGCTGAGGCTGGCGGTCGCCTCCTGCTGCCGCCTGCCGTGCGAAAGCGGCCTGCACGGCTTGAACGTGGTCGTCGTTGGCTGCTCCCCTCGGCCTCAGGGTCAGCGTGTCCCCTGGCAGTGCGTGAGGAGAAGAACACGTGACACACCGCCAACGACCACGATCCCTACTTCCCCACGTCGCGATCTTAACCTCGTTGGCCTCGAACGGGATGCCACATCCGACGCAGGACGCGGGGCGCGGGGTGGGCTTCTGAATGTCGACCGCCCACTGTTGTGTCCTGCGTCGTCTGTTTGGCCTCGCCTCCTGGTCGACGTCTCCTCTCCCCCTCGCGGCGCCCGCCACGCCAGCACTCCCAGCCGCGTCCTGCGCCACCATATCCTCGTCCTCGCCGGCGTCGTCTATATCCTCCTCCATTGCTTGGGGCCCCGCGGCAGCCAGCCCCCCTCGTGCCGCCGGCCGCTCTCCCCAGAGCGGTGTGCCTGGTGCTGGCGGGCCTTCCCCTGGGTACCCCAACGTGGCGTCGAAGTCCAAGCTGTCCTCCTCCTCCTCCTCCTCCTCCTCTTCCGCCCTCTCCTCCTCCTCCTCCTCCTCCTCCTCCTCCTCCTCCCCCTCCTCCTCCCCCTCCTCCTCCTCCTCCTCCTCCTCCTCCTCCTCCTCCTCCTGTGCCGCCGACCCTGCAGGCGGGACCTCCCCGGGAGCGCCACGCTGGCGCCCTACCCCCCCACTCGGGATTTGCTCGGAACCTGGCCATCATCTATTCTTGGATGGGGTGTTCATCAAAAGGGGTTGTGGTGCACCTTCCGACGGAGCTTGTCCATCCCCCCCCCTTCCCTCCTCCTCCTTCTTGTCCTCGTCCTTCCCCTCTTCCCCCCCGTCCCCCTCCTCCTCCTCCCCCTCCTCCTCTTCCTCCTCCTCCTCCTCCGCCTCCTCCTCCTCCTCCTCCTCCTCCTCCTCTTCCTCCTCCTCCTCCTCCTCCCTCCTCCTCCTCCCCCTCCTCCTCCTCCCCCTCCGCCTCCTCCTCCTCCTCCTCCTCCTCCTCCTCCTCCTGTGCCTCCGACCCTGCAGGCGGGACCTCCCCGGGGACCCCCCGCTGGTGCCCTCCCCCCCCCCCCCGAGACTTGCTCGAACCTGGCCATCATCTACTCTTGGATGG